GTTTCGACCTCTCATAGGTCTTATCAACACTCCCAGCGGGAGTCGAACCGTGACAAAGTAGCATGTGAGCCTGACACGTTAACCACTTAGCCCTATTTCCACGATTGACCTTGGGTCACAGGGCAGGTGTGTATTCCAAAGAAGGCCAGGCCTTCTCCCATATCACATTCTTTGGGGGGATTGTCGATGAAGCAAACGTATTTTTGCTATAACAGTCGACTACATTACTTATTTTTCGTATATAAGTAGAGTGTCGAGACTACTAGCAAATCAGTTATGAGATTTATTCATCCCATTTCGTGTAAGGTTATGAAGGGCTGGTAGTAGAATTTCCCCACATTGGCATTGGTAGAGCTGACGTTTCCATTGAATTTCATATAGCCTTGCTTTCCCAAATTTGTTTTTATTCAGGGTGAACAGTAGACGTGCCTGATCATAGACGTGGTCCATGCTGAAAAGGCTTGACCATAAGAATTACTTGAGCTCTTTAGACTCAACTTGCTCTACTATCCAGCTTGAGAATCCTGATTCTTAGAGGCCTATTTAATGAGGCGGGAGTATCCGTGCCATCAAAGGCTTGAGACATTGTGGGAAATAACGCTTTCAGTGGTACATAAAAGGGTGGCAGGGGTCGAATGAAATATCTGAACTAGGAAGGTAGGAGGCGGGTCCTACGGGCAAGAGGGAGACTCTGATAAGACCTATGGGAAGAGGACTCCGGAGTGAGGGGTTGAGAAAGCCAACGTGGGGTTTGGAGAGTTCTCATGCTGACGCTGTTGCCGAGGCAATCTCCTTCGATTTCGGTGAAAAGGTGCCAAGCTTTCGTACGTCATATGACGGACATTATCAGATCGAGGTGACATCGTCACAACAAAATTCAAGCTAACGAGTCAAGAAAGGAGATTACCTCGTCAGCATCAGCATGAATCTTCCAGTAAAGCCAATTGACAGCTGACCAAGAGGAATCCGTCTTCGTCCTCTGATGGAACCGACCTTCGAATCTCTTCCTCCAACACTTTCACTCGAAATGGAAGTAAGCTCAACAATTATGAAACAAGAGATTCCTCGAAACCCAACTTTCCTTCGCAAGTTGCGAAATGCAGGTCAAGCAACTTCTTTTCAAATAATTAAACCGGGCGTATGAAAAAATGACTATTAGGACCAATAAGAATTGTATAGATAATTAAAAGTTGTATTATTTGCTAAAATGGTTCCACTCTTAGTTGTAACCCTCAGCTCGGGCAATGAAATGAGTGAAACCGAATACAAAATAACGTAATAAAGGGAAGTAAGAGTTATTATAGGAAACAGGTTGTCGTAGTCTGGGGATCGGAATCAACTGAAACTGTTCAGGAATACAGAATTTCCTCCGGAAACACAACTGGAAAGTTAACAGTAAGAATGAATGAAAGAAGCAAGGGTCTTGTAAAAATAACATTCAACAAATGGGGATGTCAGGACAAATATGTATTCATATATACACAACATATATGTATATATAAACGCAGAGACCAGCCTTTGTTAAAATCTTTTGAGTAAGAGCGAATATTAAACTGCTCAAGATACATTGTTTGAAACATAGGGTTTAGAAATCGAAGAAATTATGCAATACTGAAATACGAGCCAACTTCTCTACATTTACAACCGAAAACACCCTTTTCGGTCAAAAATAAAATATACAGTCTGAATTAATTTGCGAGTGTTTAGGGATGCACATGCCGGTAAAATATGTAAAATAAACATGAATAGAAATCACTTCGGGGAAAATTTGGCGAGCAGGAACCGTAAAAAGTCTCCACACCCTTGGCTTGCCATAATTCGTTTTGAGGTTGGAGGCATAGTAAACTAAGCATTTAAGTTAAATGAATCGAGTGGGCAAAATAGCTGCGCATTTTCAAAGAATTGTCTCAGGAATCACTAATGGGAGACCGTTTAATGGCAAACATATTAGTCAAAACTGTGGAAATATCGACCGCCTCTGCAAGACAGTAGTGACGAAGTTTGGACAAGTGGCAGACTTTAGAAATGAGAATAAGCTTCAAAACAGGCTTGAAAAGTCTCCACTAAACTGGGGAATAATGTTGTTTTATATAAATCGATATATTAGAAGGAGAAAGTTTTAAAAGTTTGAGTTTGCTTATGAGCTCTCATGCTATTTTGACGAGAACACTGCTGAGGCTATACACCGAAATTTCTGGAATGAATGAACTGGGGGAAAAAGCCATTGGTAGCAAAACTGTGTATGCAAAAAATGTAGTGGCATCAGCGCGTAAGTGAGCTCCAGGAAATTAACTGCGCTCAGTTATTGGTTTAATCGTTCGGCGTAAAGGCTTGTGGTTGTAGAGTAGCTCGGCCGAATTGTGCCAGAGTTGCCAGCAGCTTGGGCAAAAGTACTGAAAGCAGTCGAGAGCACGACAGAAGTATAGACCTGGGTAGACATTACAGTGATTGCACACCGAATCCTCTAGATATGGGTCAATCTGGATAGTTTTACTGAACTTTGGAGTTCTGACGTCCACAAAGTTGGCCGTGACTGCACGCATGTAACTTTTATGGCTAGAGAAGGACACTCGACCTGAACCTGTCGGCCAAAATTAATGAAAAAAAAGCCGGTCTCATACCTAAGCAAAATTCATATTAAGTTAAAAGTGATAATATTTTTTTAGGATAATTAGTTATAATCGGTTAATATTATTTTTTTTATTTATTACCTGATTGTGGGCTCCTTCATATAAAACTTTTATTTTTACGATTAAAATGGCAATCTATTCTTTTTCGAAGATTACTGAATAAAATGGTATTAATATAATCCTTTAGAAATTTCAATTTTCCTTTGAATACATCAGGCTTACAAATATCTAGGTGGATTGTACCAAATTCATCGCCAATGTTTGATATCGTTCAGTTACAATCAAGTACTAGATCACTAGTGACGAATTAGCGGATCTTCTAAAGAAAAATGTACATCCTATATAACATCATAATTAATTATATTTCATAAAAAAAAGTAACTACTGCGTAAACTGGTAACGTATTAAGCAATTTTTGGATTATATAGGCTTTCGGGACAAGGGCATAGCAGAAACTCACCTATGGGATACTTGTACTTGTCTGTATCTAGCGCAGAGAAGACTACATTTCCGAAGAGGTCGTTCATTATAGCACATAGGGCCTCAGCCGTGATCATCCCGTGCAAGGCACCGATAAATACTGTCCACTTGGCATCCGGGCGCTGGGCACCCGGGCGCATATATTGACTGTCTGAAATCACCCAAGGAATCACCTGTGAGGAGAAGTAATTCAGTGTTAATGTATTGGAAAAATATAAGATATCCTAACGTTAAAGGCATTAGAGTCTGTCCGATTTCTTTTTTGCAACTCGATCATCTTATCAGTGTGGCCTCGAAAAACATAATGCTTTCAGAGTCCTCTGTCATAGTAGTCATGATAATTTCCTACGCCGGACCGTGGACTTAATACATTCCGATGCAAAAACTTACTCCGGCTACTTTTGCATACGACGCAAGATAATTTACATTCTTCAAGCACTTGCTTAAAACACGACGATTGGCGAAAACGGAAAGCCGAAGCTTCCTTTTTAAAAACAATGAGAATCAGGAAAATATTATTTAGTAATATCACTATTATATTTTAAGAATGTGCTTTTTAGAGTCTATGAAAAGTCCCGAAATACAGACTTAGGAGTCTTTGTTTTGTTTAACTATTTTAATGGGGAGAAACAACTTTTAATTTATAGAGTGAGGCTTATTTAGGACCATCAGCATTTACCTGAACGTCTTTGGATTTGAATTTAGGACTGGATATTTTGAAATAATCTCCCCCTGTACTGGAATCTCGAAAGCAGGTGGTGAGGAGATCCGAAACTGAAGACTCGTTTTCAAAAAGGAGATAGCAGTATCCTACAATTAATAATTAAGACAGGGACATAATTAGCTGGTAACAAAATCTAACTAATCAATTAAGATAATTATCATTGCACCCTCAAAGATCACATTTGTGCTAGCGTGACTCAAATATTAAATATGATTAATCCAATAAAGCTTATGCTAATTTTATTTTGGCGCTTCGGTTTAATATCAAATCGAATCGATAGATAAAATTAGCTATCCTAACCTACAAATTTTAGTAGATATAGATTTTAGAAGCTTTATAGTGTTGCTATGACCTCGTTTTCGCAACGTGCTCGCAACAAGAGGCAGCCTGTGCGTAGGTACCCAGTCCTGCGCCTTCTGGCATAGTAATCATGATAATTTCCATTATCGAACCTTCGACGGTACAATCCCATACGTTTCGCTGGCATTGCAGTTGGCACCGCTAGTGCGAGGCTTCATTCTTAGCACCGGGATACTATGAGTTTAGGTTATAGGGAGACAATCCACTTCAAATTTTGTGGTACCTCTCCTTCCCCCTTTCCCTTTGAGCATGCCTCCCCAACTTTTCTTTTGTAATCGCCATCTTGCCACTTGCTCAACAT